TAATGTAGTTACACAACACACACACATATATGTACATATAGTATAGAATGGGTAGCGCTATTATTATTATTTAACTAACTTTTCCGATCCAAAGTTTCCAGATACTGAGTGATACCTAGTAGGCATGTGTGTGTAGAGATAGATAGATAGATAGATAGATAGATAGATAGATAGATAGATAGATAGATAGACAGATAGACACACACAAGCTGTACCCGCCCTGCATTGCTGTGGTCAACCTTCCCTCCCTCTTTCTCTTCTTTCTTTCTTTCTTTCTTTCTTTCTTTCTTTCTTTCTTTCTGTCTGTCTGTCTGTCTGTCTGTCTGTCTGTCTGTCTGTCTGTCTTTCTATCTATCCTTCCTTCCCTCCTTCCTTCCTTCCTTCCCTCCTTCCTTCCTTCCTTCCTTCTCTTCTTCTTCCCTTCCTTCTCCTCCCTCCCTTTCCTTTCCTCTTTCTCCCCTTTCTTCCTTCTCTATCTTTTCTTGGACTTCAACTCCCAGCAGTCCTCCTGATCTACCTATCTATTTATCTATCTATCTATCTATCTATCTATCTATCTATCTATCTATCTCTAGCTAATCTATCTATCTGGAGGATTGATGGGAGTTGCAGTCCAGGATTGGATATTGGAAATATGCAGGGACTGGGATGCTGTCAAAGAAATGCCAGGAGAAGAAAGCTTGGAGCTTGGAAGCATTGCATTTGGATCATCCCCCTCTCCTAAAGGGTTGGTCTGGGGAATGCTGGGAGCTGTAGTCCAGAAGAGAGTGTGGATATGTTATTGTATGTTTTGTTGGCCAGGGGGAGTCGTTTTTGCACTTGCTGTAGCGTCTTTTTGCTTTTTTGGTTTTTAAAGTCCCTTCTGTGTTTTTCAGTGTTTTATGAGTGATGGTCATTTGTTGGCCTGATAAGGTGTCTTGTGTCCAAATTTGGTGTCAATTTGTCCAGTGGTTTTTGAGTTATGTTAATTCCACAAATGAACTTTACATTTTTATTTATATAGATGCTATTGTTATCATTGGGCTTTAATGTAGCTATTGTTAGTATTATTATTATTATTATTATTATTATTATTATTATTATTATTATTATTATTTCTCTCTTTGATCCAGGATCAACTCCAGCAGAAAATCATCTGCCCAGGCCTGGTTTCCTGCTTGACGGCTGCTCCTAACGGGCTCTACATCTTGGCTGGGATCTCAGAAAGCCTCTATTTATGGGAGGTAGGGGAGAAAATCATAAAATCCTAGAGTTGGAAGGGACCCCCAAAGGCCATCCAGACTGACCCCATTTCGGCCATAAAGGAGGATGCCTCCTCCCGATGGCTACTCAGCCCGTGTTTGTGGAAGACATCAGAATCCCAGATTTGGAGAAGATCCCAAGATTCGTACCAGGCACAAAGACACAATCCGATTCCTCCCAACAGATGGCCATCCAGTCATACACATTATATATATATATATATATATATATATATATATATATATATATATGAGAGAATATGAATATATATGAATGATAGGAGTTATATCATAGATCCTCCAGCGCAGCCTAATCCCAATCCCTTCTGCCAAATAGGAAGGCACAATCCAATCTCTCCTGACAGATGGCCACCCAGGCATTGATATGATAGATAGATAGATAGATATGATCAAGATATCATAGAAGTTGAATGAAATCTCAAGGGTCACCTCGTTCCAATCCCCTGCCAGGCAGGACACAATCCGATCCCTCCCGACAGATGGCTAGCCAACCTCATAGAAAGTAGCAGCTTTGTGGAAAGATAGAGCTATAGAATCAAGGACTCCTATTTCTGCCATAAAGGAAGACGCCATCTGATCCTTCCCAACAGATGACCATTAAAGCCTCCAAGGAAGGGGTCTCTATATTCCACAGCCATGTGTTTAGGTAAAATCTGTTTTCCTGCCATTTGAATCCATGACTCCATTGTGCCCCCATTCTCTAGTTTTCCCCACAAGAGGGCAGGGCAATTCACATTTTATTTTAAGGGAATAAATATGTATTCAAGGGAGCAAAAGACAACAGCAGCCACCAGCAGCTACTGCTTTCTGGGGCCAACTCCAAAACATAAAATACATCATGGCTATTATTACCATTATTATGATTTATATGCCACTCTTAAAAGATACTCGAGGATTCGAAGCATCACTGGCTTCTCTATTAGACAAAGATGTTAATATTACAAGGGAAAAACTGTCAAGATCTAGTACAGTGGAGAGAACATTGGACCGGGTTTAAGACTCCTTCCTCCTTTCCTCCCTCCCTCCACTTCTTCTCATGTCCTTGTTCCATGCCTACAATTTTGCACTGTCCCATTCCCTTGTCTTTTTGTTGACAGTCTGGCCATGTTCTGTGGTAGCTTGTTGCCATAGGTTATTGTGTCCTGTGTTTGAGTTTTAAATTGTTGTTTCATATGTCATATGTTTTTATGTTATTGTGTTCTTGCATTTTGTGGTTCATTTAATGCTCTGTTTTAGGCACTTTGTAAGCCACCCTGAGTCCCTTCGGGGAGATGGAGGCGGGGTAGTAGTAGTAGTTGTTGTTATTATTATTATTATTATTATTATTATTATTATTATTATTATTATCCTTCCTTCCCATCCTTCCTTCATTCCATCCTTCCTTCTGTCTTTCCTCCTTCCTTCCTTCCTTCCTTCCTTCCTTCCTTCCTTCCTTCCTTCCTTTCTTTTCTTCCTTCATTCCTTCTTTCTTTCCCTTCCTTCCTTTCTTCCTTCCTCCTTTCCCTCTTTCCTTCCTTCCTTCCCTCCCTTCCTTCTTTCCTCATTTCCTTCCTTCCCTCTTTCCTTCCTTCTTTTTTTCTTTCCTTCTTGCCCTTCCTTCCTTCTTTTCCTTCCTTCCCTCCTCCCCTCCCTCCTCCTTCCCTCCCTCCCTCCCTCCCTCCCTTCCTTTCTTCTTTCTTTCCTTCTTTCCCTTCCTTCCTTTTGTCTTTCCTTCCTTCCTTTTTCCTCATTTCCTTCCTTCCCTCCTTCCCTCCCTCCCTCTTTCCTCCTTT